ATAGTTGGTCTATACAGGATATATAGACCTCGTAAAAGACCTCGGGGGACCTCGGTCTTTTACTCGGTCTATATATCCTGTATAGACCTCCTAACCGGTCTATAATCTATACATATATATATACGGGACTTTATCACTCTTCTATATCGACCTCCACTAATTCTCGTGATCCTTGACTGGTCCTATATTACCCATATCGCCGCAATATCGACCGCTTATATCGACCGCTTGTATCGACTACTTAGGCATTGTAATCTTTCGACTTTGGAGGGACTTAGAATTTTCTCTCCACTTCAAAAAGAAAAATTGAAAGAAAGAAGACAAAGGAAGAGAACAAGCAGGATTTGAACTCACAACAGTATGGATCTCAAGCAACCCTTTATACCACCTAGTCACTGTCCTGCAGATGCTGAACTCTGTTGTTCTTACAGTCTTGTACCCAAAATAGGCAACATCCTATGTACACTATAGTACAAATGCTATACTAAAAAGGTTAAAATAGCTCCTAAAGGTTCAAATTTTGGGGTTATGGCAAAGGAGTCGTGATAAATAGGATATTGACCTCGACTTCGGTCTATATGGGAAATATAGGCCTCGTAAAAGACCTCGGCGGACCTCGGTCTTTTACTCGGCCTATATTTCCCATATAGACCTCGTCTTGGTCAATATCCTATACGTACTACTCCCTGGTCTGAACCATCCTGCAAAGTTTGAATGACGTAGGTTGAGCGATCGCTCCGCGAAACATACTTTTTGAAATTCTCTTCATAGTATATCTTCCACCATAGAAATTTCGAATTTCTTCAAAAAAAGTGCTGAGAGAGGTGGCTTGCAACCTCGATATGGCTTGTTCCAGGCATGCTTTTGAGCCATCTTCTGTTGAAATAGTGGCGGGGATCTGCCCTGCAACTGCTACAACAAAAAATGATTCGATCTGAGAAAGGGTGAGACCGCGAATCTCGGTTGAATATTGAGTAATTCTTTGTGCCATCTTCAATAGGTCCGTCAAATACAGTAGTAGTAGGTTTTTCATTTTGACCCGACGAGACCATACGACGCTTGCAGATCACAGCACAAACAGTTCACCAGCCACACTCCACGAAAGCAAGTAGTAGTACTCCTGACAAGTCTTGTTTCGTTCCATAGAGATAATAACGGGGAACTCATCAGAGGAGAAGCAGTTGTTGAATGAAGGGGTTTAGATGAATAATGCTATTTTATAGAAAAGATATTGGCGCACTGAGGTGTAAACACTCAACTAACTCACGTATGTGACATATCAACACAAAAGGAATAGTGCAGAATGGAGGTGTTCTGAACCCTACCAGACACAACTATCACAAGTGCTAAATCATTCACAATGAGAAGGAGAGGTACACAGGAATAGGTTGCGCTAGTTTACACGTCACAAATGGTACTGAGGTAGTGACAAAGATAGGTGAAAAGTAGACGCCAAGTGAAAGCCAACAAATCATCACGAACGTCTAACGTCACATCTGAAGATTGCTAGCGGCACAAGACAAATACTTCACAAACCTCGATAATTGAAATTCAGCCAGCGGTATAGTGAAAGGAAGGCTGCTGGGTGTGACATCGAACTGTGGGCTGCTGAGGCGACGTATCCATCCTGACCTTGACTGCAAGGTTGGCGTCTAACGCTAAAATCCGAGCAGCAGATCAAATCCTCTGGTCAATGGCAGATTTCCTGGTCCAGGAGAAGTCATAATATATGCTTCTCCTCTGATGAGTTCCCCGTTATTATCTCTATGGAACGAAACAAGACTTGTCAGGAGTACTACTACTTGCTTTCGTGGAGTGTGGCTGGTGAACTGTTTGTGCTGTGATCTGCAAGCGTCGTATGGTCTCGTCGGGTCAAAATGAAAAACCTACTACTACTGTATTTGACGGACCTATTGAAGATGGCACAAAGAATTATGACTTCTCCTGGACCAGGAAATCTGCCATTGACCAGAGGATTTGATCTGCTGCTCGGATTTTAGCGTTAGACGCCAACCTTGCAGTCAAGGTCAGGATGGATACGTTGCCTCAGCAGCCCACAGTTCGATGTCACACCCAGCAGCCTTCCTTTCACTATACCGCTGGCCGAATTTCAATTATCGAGGTTTGTGAAGTATTTGTCTTGTGCCGGTAGTAATCTTCAGATGTGACGTTAGACGTTCGTGATGATTTGTTGGCTTTCACTTGGCGTCTACTTTTCACCTATCTTTGTCACTACCTCAGTACCATTTGTGACGTGTAAACTAGCGCAACCTATTCCTGTGTACCTCTCCTTCTCATTGTGAATGATTTAGCACTATATATATATATATATATATATATATATAGAACAATAGAAGTATTTCTTGCGTCGGCAAAAAGTGCTCAATGTCCTAAGACAGAGCGGGGTTATACACCTGAAGAGAAGAGTGCTTTTGCACGAAACTCAGAGTAGCAACACTGAGAAACTTGGAGATCCTTTGTGTCTGAGTGTATATATATATATATATATATATATAGTTGTGTCTGGTGGGGTTCAGAACACCTCCATTCTGCACTATTCCTTTTGTGTTGATATGTCACATATGTGAGTTAGTTGAGTGTTTACACCTCAGTGCGCCAATATCTTTTCTATAAAATAGCATTATTCATCTAAACCCCTTCATTCAACAACTGCTTCTCCTCTGATGAGTTCCCCGTTATTATCTCTATGGAACGAAACAAGACTTGTCAGGCGTACTACCACTTGCTTTCATGGAGTGTCGCTGGTGAACTGTTTGTGCTGTGATCTGCAAGCGTCGTATGGTCTCGTCGGGTCAAAATGAAAAACCTACTACTACTGAATATTGAGTATTTCAAGCCTTTTCACGTCGAAGATGGATTTCTTTTTGGAGATGGACGTCGCGGCAAAGGACATGGTGTCCGACTTCTGGCGTCTGGTGAAGCCAGAGATCATTTGTCCAGTCAGGTCGGCAGCCTACCCGCCGGTAAGCTTGTGATTAGATCCCGTTCTGCTCGATGTGGTAGATCACAAACAATTTGATATCGCACAAATTTATCTCAGCATCGTGCGTACGGTATTTTGTATTCAGAAATTTTGTATTCAGAAAATCCCAAAGTGTCTCTGTGTGGCCGTCCTATGCCACGAGAAACTCCAATCAGGCTCCTATGTCCTCTGCCTTCATGATTGAATGTCCACTTCGTTTGAACAACGAACACAACAATCGAGGACGGCTTTGCAATGACAAATACGGCTATACTGGAGCTGAAAAAAAGAAGAAAAAAACGTGCTCAGGATGAGACTCGAGTACACGCATACTCTCCCCGCAGGTGAAACGCAAATTTTTGTGAAAAGTGCGTGTCGCCGACTGACCAGTAATTTCGCCTGACGGTACGATTTGAGGCATGGAGTAGTGATATACCAGTATCTAACTACTCCCTGATACCAAATGCATGGGCGTTGTCATCTTCATCTCGCAGATCGAAAATTTTCAGGTGTCGCGTGATTTCGCAAAATGATTATCGTGTGATCGTGGTTGTGATAATTTCACACAGTTTAACCCCAATGTTCCACATTCTCTGCATTTAACCTTTTACCGGCAGCCCCATACTTGAATGCGTCAACGTTGACGCATTCGACATGTATTTAACCTTTTACCGGCAGCCCCATACTTGAATGCGTCAACGTTGACGCATTCGACATGCATACAAAACCATGCCTGGCATGACGGGAAACATCAGCCCACGGGGATTTCCCGTGGCCCTCACACAGCCAAGGTATGATCCTATTGGTAGCTGAAGAGATCCACGCGTGTCCCATTTTGATTTCATTGAGAACTGCGCGATCGAAAACTTACGGAAATACACGCGCGCCGACAATGCCGTCCGCCTCCGTCAAAACATCGTCAGGTGCATTTTCTCTTGCGCAGTGAGTTCCTATCGTCCTCGGATGACTTCTCCGACGAGGACCTAGCAGTCATTCGCTCTGTGACCGACGACAGATTGATAAATACTTCGTTCCAGCCGCTGATGCAAGCGAATTTCAAACTACGGAGCGGGGCGCACGCCAAGTAAATTCTAACGCAAAAATGGGGAGCGCCAGCTGCTGAAGACGATGTCGTCGTGATGTACCTGGAAGAAGCTGATGGTGCTTATGGTGGGGAAGCCATGGAGAGCGATCCCCGTGTCGACAGTCTCCCAGAGACGGAATTTAGGCCATCGATTTTCTACGTACTTCAGTGATGGCAGCGCAGCTCGGCGTGAGTGCGACCGTAATGGAGCTTTCCAACAGCGATTCTGGGGCGATCTGCTCTCATTTGCGAGCGAGGCATGGCCACTGAAGTTTGTGATGGCTATGGCGTTGTTTCTGCTCCGAATTCGACTTGTTTTAGCAGTATCATGTCAATGTCGGAACTCTGACGATTTGCATGTGTACAATTTCCGTGTTTAGACGTAGAGGTGCCAATTTAGCAGCGTATGTGTGTGGTATGAGAAAATAAATTTTTGCATGGTCAAGAAGTAGTACTAGACTTCCAATAAAGCATAACTTGCACTTACAAAATGTGGCCTCGTTGTGAGTTATTGGCATCCTTCTAAATGTTATGGATTTCACATACAAAAGTAACTTGCCGGTAAAGGGTTAATATCATGTTCCTTCTTGTAAAACATTATTGTGATGTAATTTCCAACTGATGATCATCACAGGAAAACATTCTTGGAAAACTCTTGACCTACCTTGCCTTTTGTGATGGAGTAATGAGTGCACACAAGATCTTATTCATAGCTTTATTCAAATTTATATCTCCGTCGCTTATTTGTATTCATGAGTTGTTTTTTATTTATATCCATTTATCTGAGGGCATGGTGTAACATCCTAAGTTCCTATATCCCACAGAGAAGCATACAGTAAATTGACAAGGTTGCACAGGTGTAGGCCAATCATTCTTAATTGCAATTGGAGTACACCACCAACAAATATTGGAGGGGTATCCTGTTTCATTTACCTGAACATTGCAATGTAGAACCACTCCACTCTCCTGTCTCCAAACATATACGTTGGTAGTCACCTGTGCTTTGATTGAAGCCGGTATCACATTGGTACATGACACTGCTGTTATAGGTGGTGTTGGACTTCTGGACAACAGTTGAATGGTTGGTAGATAGAGGCTCTCCGCAGTCTAGTATCTGGCATTTAGGCACTGGATTGGACCATTGTCCACTAACCTGGCATGTAGTGGCATTAGCACCAAGTAGAATGTACCCCGGTGAACAAGAGAATTGCTCCTCATGATCAACAGTAAGGTGGCCTGTGACGGGAGAATATGAAGTTTTTCTTCTGACTTCACCTGTTGTATTGAGAGTTGGACAAGTAATGATATAGCAGTTCTGCTCCTCTACCGGCTCCCAGATTCCGGTCGCTACGCAAGTTATCTGTGATGGCCCAGTCATATTGAAACCCCGGTTGCAGGAGTAACTGACGGTTTTGTTGAACACAAAGCTAAGATCACCGCTCACTGTTGCATTTGGTAGATGCCCAGGATGGCCACATGAAATCACTGCAGACGATAGCGAGGCAGAAGTTTTTTGGAAATGCTGCAAGTACGGTCTTGAGGATCATGCCCACAATAACACTTGAATACATGGATATACTTCAATAAAGCTATGAATAAGATCAACTGTGCACTCATTACTCCAACGCAAAAGGCAAGATAGGTCCAGAGGTTTGTGATGTAATTTCAGGGCTCACAACCGGTATGCCAAAACCTCGATTACATGGGAGGACATATTGGATCTGATCACCATAGAAACGGGCACGCGTGACTGCTAAGCGCAGGCGTAGCACTCACAGTCGCAAGGAGATTTTGACTTGCTTGGGCTGAGTTGCTGTGACAAGAACTGAGCCGTGGATGGTGAAGGAGACGGAGACAGTTCTCCATTTGTTTCGGTTGTTATTGTTTCCTTCCGAGTGGATTATATCGCGAGCATTGTTGGCCTCGTCGGCCGAATTCTTCCTTCAGACTGTCCACACACTGAGTCCTGGGAGGAGTAGCCCCGAGCAGATTCCTGCATTTGTTGAACACGAAAGAGTTCAACATCTACTGCCCGGCAGCTACGCCGCTAATGCACAGGCGCGGGTGACGGGATCGGGAGAGGGAGAGGACATGCACTCCTTGATGTTGAATGCATGGAGCAATGACTCACGTGGTGTTCTAGTTTTAGTTTCTCCGACGTGAAGTCCTGTTGTGTACAATGTAAATATACGCCTGGTCCGCTGCGAAGAGTCGCGCAACGCAGTAGTGACGATGTGGAGTTGTGAATTATTTGATTCGCCACTCCGTTTCGTTGCAAGAGAACATGCAAGAGAACACGTCCAATGGCTTCGCCGTTGTGCTGGTCATGTATTTCTTCAATCGGCCATAACTCCTGAAGGACACAGTGATGAAGCGCCAGGCAAGTAGCAAGAACATTTCGAAAATTCGCCTTGCTGTAGTGTTGTTTCCGCATTCACAACCGGTCCTGCGCGTGCGGTTCTTCCTTGCACCTGTACTGCGGATAGCGTCGCCTTCGAAATGTTCGTTTGTACCCGTCTCTTGCCCGATTTTGATGGCCAATAGCTTCAAATTTTCAGTAGGAAAAATAGAAGAATTTGTCCGAGAGACTTTTCAATTTTAGGACAATAATTCATGTCAGAATTACGCCTGCACCAACTGATACTTTGGCCCCGTATGTACGCCAAACCGTATCGATTAAAACAAAAAACTCTCGGACAAATCCTTACAATGGGTATTGAGAGTATGTTCCTAGAGTTTGAAAGGCCTTGGAGAAAGCATCGGTACAAATGAACATTTTGAATGCACCCCACGTTCAAGCTTCGGAGATCGCATGTACACGATTCTGGCATACTGCCTGGCTCGCGTGACAGCTCGCGTGACAGTGGCCTGTCCAAAATGGCGCCCACGCTTTTGTACGCGGCTGTGAGCCCTGAATTTCCAACTGATGATGATCAGAGGAAAACATTCTTGGAAAACTCTTCACCTACCTTGCCTTTTGTGATGGAGTAATGAGTGCACAAAAGATCCTATTAAAAGCTTTATTCAAATTTATATCTCTACGTCGCTTATTTGTATTCATGAGTTGTTTTTTATTTATATCCACAACAGAACAACAAGGACAATCAAGGCTTGTTTGCTGCTACTTTAAGTTTCATGCTTACGCAATCATCAGGCAACATTTATATCCATGTATCTGAGGGCATGGTGGAACATCCTAAGTTCTTATCTCCCAAAGAGAAGAATACATTAAATTGATGTTGTTGCACAGGTGTAGGTCAAACATGCTTTTAGGAATGTCGGTGGTGTACAACAATTGCAATTTTACAACAATTGCAATTAAAATTGCAATTGTTGTACACCACCGACAACAAATATTGGAGGGGTATCCTGTTTCATTTACCTGAACATTGCAGAGCAGAGCCACTCCATTCTCCTGTCTCCAGGCACGTACGTTGATAGTCACCTGTGCTTTGATTGAAGCCGGTATCACATTGGTACATGACACTGCTGTTATAGGTGGTGTTGGACTTCTGGACAACAGTTGAATGGTTGGTAGATAGAGGCTCTCCGCAGTCTAGTATCTGGCATTTAGGCACTGGATTGGACCAAGCGCCATTTGGCATGCAAATGGTTTCATTTTCACCCTTCAACTCATATCCCTCTTGACATGAGAAGCCCACTTTATGATCGACAGTATACGGGCCAGTCCAGGGTATATCAAGCCAGTAGTTAATGCCGTTGGGAGGCTCTCCAGCAACAATGGATTTGCATTGGATAGCAGAACATTTCGGTTGAACTTCAGGGTCCCACACACCATTTTCAGAGCACCGTTGAGTAGCAGGGCCCACAAGCTTGAAACCATGGGAACAAGAAAAGTATGTTGTGGTGTTATACGTAGTAAGATCAACTGATACATTGCCATACATCAACGAATTTGGTGGACCACAGTCTATGTCTGCAAGAAACACACACCACAGATACATGTCATGTAGATTTTAGAAAGTACAAACAAGAATATTAGCAAGTAGGGTGCTCCACTGATTGAAGAGAAAGGAAACTCCGTTGCAACAGCACCAGCAGCAGCACTGTATTACACAGCAGGTGCTTTGGCGCTGTCTTTCTTTGTTGCCACAGTAGTATTTGAGGTTTTTCTTTGATCATACTGACATGTACAAGTCGCAGCGAATCTCCTCTGTTAGCTTGTACCATAAAAAGTACATCTGCTTCACTAATTACTGCCTCAGCTGGTTCAGTTCTAGGTGCTTCCGGCATACTTTGCGTCTCAAATTAAGCACAGAATCCTATAGTGACATTAATCCATCAAGGTCACATACAATCATACCTGCAACATGTCTGAACTCTAGCGGATGATGTGTTTGCGCGCGTACGTGTGTGTGTGTGTGTGTGTGTGTGTGTGTGTGTGTGTGTGTGTGTGTGTGTGTGTGAGAGAGAGTGCGGTGGGCATGCGTGTGTATGTGTGTGTGTGCATGTGTGCCCACGTGTATGTACACACACATGTACATGAGCACGCTTGTGTGTTGTCATGAAAATTGCAACACTTCATTGACATGAGCTTGAATGAGTCAGATAATACCTACTGGGGAATGAACCAATAACAATCAGAAGAAGAACACACTTCAGGCTCTTCAACATCATCTTCAAAGTTTTCACTGCAGTCCATTCACTATAAGTGTGCACTGTTATTACATGCTCCCATCATACGACTATGTACAAATACAAGGCAATTTTTTCTGAGTGAATGCACGCTTGCTTGCTGCTCCTTTAAAAAAAACCCGATCAAAATCTGTCCAATTTTGGGAGAGAAAATGGAAAATTGATTTTTTTAGCTCGCTTTGCTGGCTGATTTCCGTGCATTTGCATGCGCCGCTGCTTTGTCTTTGAAGAAGTCATGCACCTTATTGATCATCTCAACGCATCCACGTGGGGTATTCCCCTGTCAGGCTGGCGCTGGCCTGCATGTAGAATCCATGGGCCCTTTGACTGGAAAAGAGTGCACACTGATATGGAATGGACTGTAGTATACTTTCAAGCCTTATCAGGTGAAATACAGGCAAAATCGAATGAACACTTGAAGGACAATGGATTAAGTACAGTAGAGTGGTGATAGAAACAGCACAAGGAAGAAGCGCTAAAATAACAACGGAGAATGCGTGACCCATACACTTAGGCCTCATTTACACGACAACGATTAAAAAACGTTTTTCAATCGTTTTCGAAACGTTTTTGCTGTTTACACGAAAACGATAAGCGTGTAAACTGCAACGCGTTTTCGGCGCAATGGTCACGTGCAATAAGTTGTAGGGACCGGCAGATTCTGCTCGAAAAGGTGGCTGATTCTGCTCGAAAAGCAGTGAAATTGGCAGAACCATACTTCAAAATACAAACCTTATGGCGGGCAATTCCTCGAATTCTGCTCCATTTTTTATCCACATACCAAACATGCATGAAACTTACCAGAAAAAGTACCGAATTCTGCCAATTTTCTGCCGGCAGAATCTGCCAGACCCTAATAAGTTGGCCTGATGCAGGCTGGCGGCGGCATGTTTTGAGTACAAGGCTCGTAGTAGTAAAACGTTTTTGCCGTTTACACGAGAACGAAACGGAACGAAAACGATTGAAACACACTTTGAAGGTCGTTTTTCGTTTGAAACGTTTTTGAAACGTTTTTCAGCATTGTCGTGTAAACGCTCTTATCAAAATCTGTGGAAGCGCATTCTTTTGAAAACGTTTTTGACAAAAACATTTTTCAATCGGTGTCGTGTAAACGAGGCCTTAGAAAGAAATGGGGGAAAAGGTGCTAAATGTGAATCTACTTTAGCTTACAGAAGGGATCGTTGCAAAATTGTTTTGTCCCTGGAGCAAACATCGTTCATTTGGGGGTGAGCCTAAATCGCATGTCGACCAACACTGTTATGCACGTGCCGCTATGCATGCTGTGAATGGAGCTCTGCGTGCATCGAGTGCATGAATAGAAAAAAAAGGTTTCGTTTCACGTTGTTCAGCACTGCTCCGTGGAATTTCAAGTCGGTCGGCCCAAACTTGGCGTCGAAACGCATGCTCGTGACGTGGGCTGGGGCCGACTCACGCTCGACATCCACGCGAGTTTTTTTCCTGAATTTACTCTTACGATCAGGTGGGGATTGGCTGTAATTTTGTCAAAAAAATGTAATACTTTGCCTCTGCGATTTTGAGGTCTTTAGCGGGAATCCGGAGGCACTTGAGTGTAGCTCTCCAAAAATCAATGCTAGCTTTTTTGATTTTCCGTGCTTCTCATAGTGTCACCAGGGGAACGGCGTGCTTCATAAGAACCGTGAAACGAAAGCTCCTTCTGACTGCGCGTCACCTCGAAAAACTGACGTTCACGTTAGAGCGCAAATCACGCGAAACGAAACCTCTCTAATGGCATGCACAAATGCGGCACGTGAATATGTTATGGGCGCCCAGCGCAGTAACAAGCGTACTACTCCCTGTAGCAAGTGCGGCTCAAGTGGATACAAACAGTGAGAATGAGGCACTGGCACAGTGCGACTGGCATTGAAGATAGATGCGTGCATGAATCGTGTGGAGGTGTGAAGTCAAAACAGATTCCAGTGTTGTATACTTCGAAGTAGTACTATGTGCACTGCATTGGCATATGTACAATCTCGAGCTGCAACATTAGAGAGGTTGCGCATAACGAAAATTCATAGCGCTGTAACGAAAAATTTTAATGAAAAAAGCTAACGAATATTCGTTAACCGTGAGGTTGCGCCCAACGCGTGAACTTTTTCGTAGTGGGTCGACGCGTCGCCAGCGCAGGTATGAAGAGTCAAGACAGGGAGTTGTAAAATATCAGTATTTTTGTACTTCAGGTAACGAAAAATATTTTCGTAGATCTGCTCTGTTTCGGTCGTGTTTGGACGGACCTTCGTAGCAACTTTAGTTACTCGAACCCAGACGGTCAAAATCTAACGAATTTTCGTTGTGCGAAACCTCTCTATTGTTCTCTTGCGCAGTTGTGTCCGGTTCCGGTGTTTTTTCAGAGTGGGGAACTTGGTTTCGACTGTGAATTTTCAGTCATGAAGTAGACGACTTTGTTGGGCAGATTTGGAAAGACTCGAAGTCCGGTGTACAGCAATCCGGTCACGATGTAGGAAAATCTCGTGAATGTGGATGTCATCGCCGACAAGTCCAGTCGCAAGACGGAGTAAGTTGTGAATAATGCCAATGAAAAATGGCAGGAAATCAAACATGATGAAGGGCCATTTTAGTATCCCAGTGTACTATAGTATACTGTTATGTGTAGGCAGCATTGCGTGTTACAGACCTTAGATCAATCTTGGGTATAAGTATAGGATATTGACCAAGACGAGGTCTATATGGGAAATATAGGCCGAGTAAAAGACCGAAGTCCGCCGAGGTCTTTTACGAAGAAAAAACCCCCCATTATCACTCTTCAATATCGCCCTCCACTAATTCTTGTGATCCTTAACTGGTCCTATATTACCCATACATGTATCGCCGTAATAGAGAGCTTCCGCATTATGTAAAGTTGAGCAACTTTACGTTAGTGGGTGGGAAAAATCTGTGAATTTGTGAGTTTGCACTCCACTTACGGAAAGTTGTCTACGCAAAGTACATAGATAGGGCTCTGATAACGTAGGCGCTCCGTAAGTGGATTGGGGTACAAATTCATGACTCTCCCCAGGTCGATCCGGTTGTACACTGCCGCATTCGCAGTTGCCAAGGGGCAGCTACGTGATTTGAAACTCCATATGGCGGAACACAGATCCGCATGTTGTTTACGTAAGACTTTCCGTAGATCGACTACGTTTTTTAATAACGTAATTAAGTTACGCGGAACATCTCAAATATCGACCGCTTGAATCCACTGTTTATATGCTGCTGTTGCTGCTGCTGCTGCTACAGCAGCTACTGCTGTGGCTGTAGTTACAGCCCCGCTCGTTGTCAGGAAATGTTTGCTTGTGCTACTTCTCATCCAGTTGACTTCATATTATGACTTTGTATGTTATAATTTTCTTGAGCTCCGGTTTCCCCCTTCATTATAACTCAAGCGCAGTTTTGCGTGTATTGGCTTGTGATTTCCTTTCTTCTGTTTGCTTGGCATTTTATCGCTCCACAGGTACCGGATTCCCAATCTCTCGATTTATCAACACAGGTCACAAGTCCGATCTCACCTCTACAGGTGGCACACATCATAGGACAAAGGAGTCTGTAGTAATCGCTCTTTCCAGAATAATACTAGAGAACAACAAAACTGAAAAACAACTCGTGTCCAAGAAGAGCCGCAATCACCCACCACCGTGGGAGAAGAAAAAACACATTCGCAAAAGCGCGCCAAACTGTGCTGCATGCACGTGCCTTGACAAGTACATGTACCGTCATGCATACGTGGGCCAGAACAAGTCATACAAAGCACGGGAACGTGGGCATGGAACTAGCGTTTTGTACTGAAACAAGAACAGGCACAACATGATACAAATCGCGCGACAAGGTCGCCGCGACACTCCAGCCGACCGGGAATGTACACCGGGAGGTAACTTATAGAGCATAAGCAATGCAGATACACACGCACACGCACACACACACACAACAAGCAGTTAAACAGGCATACAGAGAGTTTTATGTGCTTGTGAGGTCACTGCCAATTGGACCAAGCACCACCTAATCCTCACACTCTGACACGGTCAAACTTATCAGGCGCGTGGGATGTGTACGTGCAGCAACGATACAGCTGTCCACTTTGCAATATTCTGCCGGGCCTTGTCAGTTGCCGCACGAGTTGGTCGCTGGGGGTTTCGGAGACATTCGGAGACGGGACGACTGGAGTGGCTGGAGAGCCAGTAGCAGGGACAGGACTAACAGCAGTCACAGGAGGGCTTGCAGGAGCGGAAGGTGGACCCTTGGAGTGGACCACCACTGCTGATGGGCTGA